AAGAACCTGCTGAATCAGACCCAAGGCAAACCTACCCAGGTATGTACAATGTTCACATGTGTTTTAATCTGTTTTTAGTCCATTACTGATTTTAGTTATTATTTGAATGTTTTAAACTATTCTAACTGATAATTTTATTGTTTTGTTCTTTTTGTAAACTGTTTTCAGGGTGTGTGTGTGAAATAAATAATATCCAAAGTCATGGTTTCATAAATCATGGTTTATCATTATGTGTGAACTAGGCCAATACGTTTTCTTTAATATCCCTCCCCACCCACCTATTATTAAACCAAATGTTTGTAGACAAAAACTGATGGTGAAGCCACCTGTTCAGAATGCTGGAGCAGCTATTTTCTTGCAGCTGATTCCTCATATGTTAATGCTTTAATGTATTTTTTTTTCTATAAAAAAATAATCCTCAGAAGTTCTCTTATTCAATCAGATCAAGGCCAATGGCCTGAGCAATATCATAATGGGAATTAAAATGATTATTTTTGTATAGTTATACTTTAAAAAAGAAAGAAAGAAGAAAAACCAATTCTCTCTCATTGATATCTGAAAGTAAAAAGGGTCCTTTTTAGGTTTTTATTTTCTCCAGCCAAAGATCCAGCCTTTATTGTCATTCCTGAACATTAGCCTCAAGGTTTAATTCAAGTTGAATGTAGGAGAATACTTTTGTAGTCCTTCATTTACATGTATGCCAACAAGCTTAAATGCACTGCAACCTTGGAAGACTTTCAAAGGAAGTAATAATTCCTCTGAAATAGGTCTTTTGAAAGCGTTATCTTGTTCCTTCTCTTTCTGTTAATCTTGGGAACCCCTTAGCATGTCAAAGCAATTTTTCTAATGTCACATCGTCTCAACATTACCATGAAAGCGCTTTAAAAAGATGATTTGAGAAAGAATAAATGTTGAATGAGCATTTACTAAAGGGCCATTTATGCCCCATTTGCATTTTGACTATGTTTTTTGAAACGTTTGAAAAGCCAGCTAATTTGAAAGTCAATCTCCTCTCCAAACAAACTTCGGGACACAAGTGTGTTTACACCAATCTCCTTCCTTTGTGCCTTCATTAAAAATAAAATCATTAGGTTGAAGCTGGTTTTTCTTTTTTTAAACAGGGCTGAGAATAGACATGTAAGAACTAATGCTGAAATGGTATTCTGTTCAGGGATGTTAGCTGTGAAGAAATGCTTCCCCTCTGCTATTTGAAAGAATATAAGGGCATCTCCAGCTAGACCACAGTGATGGAAGGGCTGAGGTGGTGTTCACCACTCACTGTATGGTGAAGATGTGGCTGGAGTCTACCTCCTCACTGCCATCACCACCAGCTTCTGCCATTTCCCCACAACATTGGTACCCTCTGCTTGATTGCCTGTGATTACCCAATGAGCAACTGGGTAGTGACACCTATTTCTCCTCATCTTCTTTCAACTTACAACTGTCAGGTTTGATGCCTCAACGCCTTCCACATGCGCTGCATCAGAAGGATTTTGGGTATCACATGACAGGACAGAATTCCAAACAAAGATGTGCTCTCCAAAGCCCACATTCCCAGCATGTTTGCACTCCTGTCTCGGTGACGTCTACACTGGCTTGGTCATGTCCAGAGAAGGAAAAATGGCAGGAGCCTTAGGGGCATGCTCTATGGGGATTCTGGCACCAGGCCAATTGGCAGATCAACTCTGCGTTACAAAGATGTCTGCAAATGTGACATGAAGACTGGCAACATCGTGTATCCACAGAAGTGATTCTCCAGGGTTTTGGACTGGGAAGATTCCCAGCCAGTAGCGGCTTGGGACTGGCAGGGCAGGAGGCCAACAGTAGATGGTGCCAAAGAGTCAATTACAGGCAGAGCCAACAAATTCTAGTTTTGTCCCCATCCTCCTCCTCCTGTCTGAATTCTACAAGAGGCAGCACTAAGATTTAAGAAAAGGAAGTGGGCAGATTGTGCCTCCCTCTGGGCTGGTTGCATAAGGAAGGACGTTGGGGACTGACTGAGGGTGGAGTGAAGTTGGTGGAGCAGTGCTCAACTCACCCAAATGGACTAGCCTCCACTGTTCCCATCCTTACCTGGAGATTGAACCCGGGACCTTCTGCACACAGAGTAGATCCCTTTCCCCAAACTTCGTGAGAAAGTTCGACTGAGGCAATTCCTAACTGAGCCAAGCACAGGCATCCACCATTGGAGAAACTATTTCCATGAAAGCAGGACGTTTTAAAAGACACAGCGTTTGCAGGCTTAATTGTGGCAAGTGCCCTTAAGTCCAGGTCCAGATGTTAAAAGCTGAGCGAGTTAAGAGGAAGTAGTACGCCAGAGGTTATTCACCCGGTATTTGATTATAGAAACATTTTCCATCTTTTGAGTAGGTACTTCCTGACCTTTCCAGCATTGTGATCATATCCAAGTTCCTGAACAGGAGTCTGAATAAGGAGTTGCTTACAAGGGATGGTGTATTTGGTTCATAACAAGGCAACTCTCTGTTCAGATCATCCTTTACGCACTTCTGACACTATTGGTCAGGCAGAGCAACACTTCAAGAATAAATGGAAAATTTTCACTCATAGATCTCCCTTTGTGAACTTTTGGCACTATGACAAAAGAGGATTTTCAAAATGTAACAGCTGAAAATGTCTCAAGAATGCAACTTTTATACAGATTCCCTCTATCTGCCTTTTCTTCTTCTTTCTGGTATGAATAAAAGTTCAGCCTTTAACCTTAGCTCACTCTAGTGCAGTTGATTTGCATGCAGAAATCCCAGGTTCAATCCCTGGCATCTCCAGGTGGAGCTGGAAATGTCCCCTGCCTTAAATCCCTGCTGCCAGTCAGTGTACAGTGGTACCTCTGGATGTGAATGGGATCCATTCTGGAGCCCCGTTCGCATCCTGAGCAGAACGCAACCCACGTCTGCGTGTGCGTGGGTCGCCGCTTCTGCGCGTGACATCATTTTGAGCGTCTGCGCATGCGTGAACAACAAAACCCGGAAGTAACACGTTCCGCGGAACGCAACCTGAAAACACTCAACCTGAAGCATATTTAACCCGAGATATGACTGTATGCAAAATGGAGCTAGATAGACCCATGGACTGGCTTCATTTAAGGCAGCTTTGTTTAAGAATACATTCCTATTCTTCCGAGCAGATTTTTGCATGTAAAATGTATTTTTCTATCTTTTGGGGTTTCTTTTAAAATACTGACAGATGATTATGTTAAGAGCAAAAGGCTCTCTTTCCTAATATGCCAGATTTCAGCATCTGTCAATTCATATTAAATGCACAATTAAAGCACACTATATCCCCAAAGAATCCTGAGGAGTATAGTTTCCTCTCACAGAGCTACAATTCCCAGTGCCCTTAGCAAACGATAGTTCCCATGACTCATTGGAGGAAGTCACGTGTTGTGTGGACCTGCCCATAGTTAAAAGGTTGTTCTCAGTGGTAGATAAGAAAAGCAACTTTGTTGTGTTCCTTCAGATGTTCTTCCGGTGGACCAGGGATGGGGAATCTGAGGCACTCCAGATGTTTAGGACTCCTATTTCCTGTCAGTTCCAGCTGAGATGGCCAGTGGTCAGGAATGATGGGAGATATAATCTAACAACATCTGGAGGGCCATAGGTCCCCCAGCCCTGCAGTTGGCAGTTCTGGAACCCATTTTGAACAAGGCATGACAATGTGTTTTTAAATCTTGCCAATATGCAGGAGACTTTTTGCAGTTTGTTTTTGGTTGGGAACCTTTGCAGCCATTAATACCTTGAATTGGGTTGATTCAGTGCAGGAACAAAGGAAGTTGCCTTACACTGAGTTGAAGCATCATAGCTCAATACTGTCCACAAGGAATGATCCTTGCTCTCTGGGATTTCAGACTAGGGGGGAGGTCTCTCCCAGACCTTCCTAGAGATGCTGGGGATTGAACCCAAGGCCTTCTGCAGATGCTCTACAACTGACCTATGGTGTTGCACTGGTGTCCAGTTTCCAGGCTTCCCACAGGCATCTGGTTGGCCACTGTGAGAACAGGATGCTGGACTAGATGGGCCATGGGATGATCTTAGCAGACTCATCTTAGTTCTTATGAACAGGCAGCCTGACTAGGTCTGAGGCAGCTTCCTAAGGCTACACCTTCTTCATCACCTACTTAAAGCCCTCTTGCACAACCTTAGCAGTTGTGGAGTATCCTGGGAACTTTAGTATGTTAAAGGTTGCTGGGAACTGCCGTAACCCCCAGAGTCGTCCGTGACTGGACCCAACGTTCATTATCTTTACCTTTATGGCTGTTAAAGTGGTATGAGTGTGCTTTAAATGTCTGGTGTGGATGCAACCTATGTACCAAACAAGGAGGAGGAACATTCTCAAGCATTCTCTCATTCAGAACTGAAGATATGCTTCTTATTTTCCTTTCTCAGCTCTGGAACAGGAGTCTTTCCCTGCTTGTTTTTGTGGAGACTATTGGGAGGCCAGAGCCAAAGCCAGCCTTGAAGGAGGGGTGTGTGTGTGTGTGTTTGTACTTGAGTAAAGATCCCCAGCTTGCCTGTAGGGACCCTATGAAAGTGGGTAAAGTTACATAGCCCTCTTCTCTTACCCCAAGTTTCTTTCTAATGCAAGACTATTGGCGACCCCAAACTCTGTTCCCTAAAGCCTTATTGAATTTTTGACCTTGGAAACCCCAAATCTTTCTCCCTCGAACAGATGGGAGGCACTGCTTAAGCGAACGCTTCCGTTCCTTTGTGGATATGAAATCGCACTGCCTCCCTGTGAAATAAGTAACGCACATTCCACAAATCATGGAGTGTTAGCAATCTTATACATTACAAGTTCCTCGGGGGCAGAAAAGGCTTGTGTTTTATATACTTGTAAATGGCTGTGTTCACTTAAAGGAACTAGGGAACAAAAATAATTAATGGAGGGAAAACCATTATTTATAGAGTACCATAAATATACAGCATAACACGTAACATTCCTGCCCTGAAGAGCTTGCAGTGTAAAAAAAATATAAATCCTTTCAGTTGCAGGATTCCAAGCGAGATGACGATGACACAACCGCTCCAGATGTGTCTGTGGCTTTTAGGTGTGGGAGCGAGGCCAAGGGAAGTACCACTTTGGATTTCTTTCAGCAGCAAATCTTTTAAGAAATCCCCAGACCTCTGGTAAGTGGTATTTCTTTTCTAGTGTTCGGCAGAATCACATGACACAGAGCTTTCCCCAGGCTGTACGACCTCAGGCTTCCAGCAGGAGAGCACAGTTTAGGATACTTCTCCACATAGCAATCTCTGGGCACATCCACACCATATATTGAAAGCACTATGATGCCATTTTAAGAGACATAGTTTCCCTCGCCAAAGTATCCTGGGAACTGTAGTTTGTCAAGGGTGCTAAGAGTTCTTAGGAGACTCCCTGTTTCCTTCACAGACCCACAATTCCCAGAGCAGTTTAACAGCCAATCCCTCTTCCCAGGGAACTCTGGGATTTGTAGCTCTACGGCAGTAATAGGGGGACTTAACGTTGGGATAAATGACTCCAGTTTAAGTTACATCGGTTGAGCTGGGAAAGCCCAAGATCTTCTGAATTCAAGCTCTCTCATCCCTGTGGATCTTGGGTTCAGATAGTATTCTAAGGCTGCAATCCTAACTACTTCTACTCAGAAGTAAGTCCCAATAAATTAGATTGAGCTTACTCCCTGGTAAGTGGGGTCAGGATTCCAGGCTAACTTGATTTAGGTTGGCAGCCCTAATAAAAATAAAGTAATTTTGGACATTTATGCTACATGAATGACTTTATATCAGGTCAACTTCAATGCCAGGGAAACAATTATTTGGTATCTTTTTAATCTATTCATTTCCTCTACCTGGCATCTCGGTGCCTTTTAGATTAGTTCTCTGTAGATCGTCCCCTTTGTTTCTGTGCAGGCATTCAGTGCTTCCAATTTCATGTTACTGTACTGAATTCTCTTTTCATAGCAAAGCGTCTTTCAATATGCTTGTATTTGGGATAATGAAGTTCGTCGCCTCCGTGTGTTAAATAATTCACTTCCTTTTTCCGCCTCTGTGAGGTTCTCTTATTGTGGCGTGGCTTCCAAAACATTTTCACACACACACGCACAAAAAGCGTAATCCATAAAATATGAAGAACTAACAATGAACACTGACATTTTAATTCTTCACTTACGAGCACAAAAGGGATGACAATTGGAAATTGCTGTTGTTGCCATAATAAAGAGAGATTTGCATTCCTCTGAAATTGATAGTTTAGTATTTGAGCATAATGTCAGTAACGGCAAATAACAATGCCTAGGTTCTGTGGATTATAAGTAATAGCTGTTTTCCGTTGCACCCTGTTGAATAGCGCCATTTCCCCCACCCCTTGCTGTAAACAAATGAGAGGTTGCTGGCAGTAATAATGCAGGTTTGCACAGAATCAGAATTATTTCTGAATAAGCAGATAACAGCTTTGAGATGTAATGACTATGTGGGGTGGGGAACCTTTCTCAGCCGGAGACATAAGGCAACTGCCATCATTTATGTTAAGCTTAACGCGCAGTCCTGTATGTGAACAAACATGGCCTGGATTATCTTTCCCTTCTCCTTTGAGGCAGAAGCTCCTGTATCTGACAAGTCAGGCGAATGCTCATATGAGAACTAGAGGAATATAGGAAGATGCCTTATAACATTTCAGGTCATTGGTCCATTTAGCTCAATAGTGGCCACAGTGGCCACTTTCACACCGTACATTTAAAGCAGTTTCATTCCACTTTAAACAGTTCTGGCTTCCTCCAAAGAATTCTGGAAGCTGTAGTTTGTTAGTGGTGCTGAGAGCTGTTACAAGGCCCTTATTCAACTCAGAGCTACAATACTCAGCGTGGTCAACAGTGAATCCCTGTTCACAGGGAACTCTGAGAATTGTATCTCTTGGAGAGGAATAGTAAAGGTAAAGGGACCCCTGACCATTAGGTCCAGTCGTGGCCGACTCTGGGGTTGCGGCGCTCATCTCGCTTTATTGGCCAAGGGAGCCGGCGTACAGCTTCCGGGTCATGTGGCCAGCATGACTAAGCTGCTTCTGGCGAACCAGAGCAGCGCACGGAAACGCCGTTTACCTTCCCGCTGGAGCGGTACCTATTTATCTACTTGCACTTTGACGTGCTTTCGAACTGCTAGGTTGGCAGGAGCTGGGACTGAGCAACGGGAGCTCACCCCGTCGCAGGGATTCGAACTGCCAATCTTCTGATTCGCAAGTCCTAGGCTCTGTGGTTTAACCCACAGCGCCACCCGTGTCCCTTTTGGAGAGGAATAGGGGCTTCCTAATAACTCTCAGCACCCTTTGCAAACCACAGTTCCCATAATTCTTTGGGGAAAGCCCTACCCATTTAAAGCCGTATCAGGGAGTTTTGCCTGTACACTTTGAATGTAGCCAACGACTGGCAGCAGATCTCCAAGGATTGAACCTGGGACCTTCTGAATGCACCGTGAATTATCTACCACTGAGCAATGACCCTTCCACAACTGCCACGTGGAGTGTCTGGGTCACATGTTCTCTTGTACACATGTTTGCTCTTTTACCTTGACTGGGTGAAAAATTCCAGAGGGGTAGCCCTATTAGTCAGTTGCAGTCAATCGGTGAAAGGTCCTGTGGCACCTTAAAGACTACCAGATCTTGTGAAGGGCGTGGACTGAAGTGAACTCCAGCTATGGGGCATTTGTGGTCCTCTGTTGCTGGAGCCTAGATTACCCTCCACAAGAAACAGGCCTTTCTTTCCTGTAGCCCCCTAACCTTGGAACAGCTTTTCTTGGGAGACTGAGATGGCCCTCTTGTGGCTTTTCTCCCAAAGCCAAATTAACACTTCTCTTTAATGTTTCACCAGTTGATTTCTTTGGCCCCTCTTTTTGTTTGTTGGCTTCTAGTGGAGGCATGTGGTTACATTCATTCCCCCACCCTTAAACTGTAGTATTTTTTATCTGAAAAAGTTCATTTTAAAAAATGGCTAGTAGCCATGGTGGCTATGTTCCACTTCCGCTGTCGGGGGAAATATGCCTCTGAATACCAGTTTTTTGGAGGGTGGGGATCACAGGTGGGCAGAGTGCTGTTCCACTCATGTACTGCTTGCAGGCTTCCTGTAGGCATCTGATTGGCCAATGTGAGAACAGGGCGCTGGACTAGATGTGCCATTGCCCTCATTTAGCAGGCCATTTGCTTCACTCAGTTGAGAAAGCACTCCTCACTTCTCTGAGTGGTGAGAAGTTCTATGGACAGCAGTACCAGCTGAAGTTTCCTTCCTATGAAATAAAATGCAGCCTTACACTGCCTTTGTGATACTTGCTTTGTTGAAAGTTGTGAAGGCAAACAGAAACTCCTGTGAGGCAGACCTGCCTGACAGCAACTTGGACAGTGCCCCCCCCCGACTGCCACCATGACTGCACCTCCCAGGCCCAGGTAAGTCCAACTAGAAACTCTACTCTCTTTCCTTCTGCCTAATTTCTGTTTCTCTGCCCCCTTCCCTCAGCTAGAGTTGGGTTACCTTATTCCAAAACACAAACTCTTATGGGTATCTTATTCCAAAACACAGAGAGATTCCTAAATATCAAGAGATGGTTTCTTATCTGTTGGCTCTTGTTGATGAGGCATCAACCAACTGTCTTGGACTATTAGCAATCTGCCTGACAAAGGGCTGGTCAGTTAGCAGCCGGAACAATATAGTAGTCAACGTTGAGTGATATCTAAAGCACAATTCTTGGATATATATATATATATATATATATATATATATATATATATATGGAGGGGAGAGAGCAAGAAAATTTCCACCAGGGCAATGGAACATATTCCTTAACAATTGCCAGGCTACTAAAGTCAAAGGTTCACTCTCACACCGTACCTGCCAAGATCAAGGTGACTTTGGGGTCTCTCTTTGTGGGAAGCTCATTCGGCAAAAGCTAGTCATCAGAAGACTCTTTCCAATTAAGTAATTAGACAAGGTGCTAAATATAAAGGAGGACTGGTAATGATCCTGTTATTACAGCATTATAATATTTTGTACCTTAAGAGCATTAAGAAGGCCTCACTGGCGATTTGAAATTAGGATCCTCTTTTTTTTTTTTAAAGCCCATCAAATAAAAGAGAGAGAGGAAAGAAGAAGAGAACTTCAAAGCTGCTTTTTTCCCACTTGGAAACCTGCCTGTGTTAGGATGAAATGAATAGAAAAAAGAGCAAGGTTTGCCTTCTAATAAAGCATCTGTTGCCCACTTTGAACATTTCTTACTTCTTTGTGAGCATGTCTCTCCAGTTATGGGGACTACTGACAATGAAGAACAGAGGCCTTGAAATAGACAATACCTGTTATCTACCCAATATTTCTGATTTTCATGTCACTTTGAACTGGATCTTCATTTGACCGCATGCTGAGTCCAAAAAGAATTTCTTTGTCGGCTGATCCAAAGATGCCAGAAGATGCTCGGAAAAAAAGTAAACTGCGGGAATCTGCTCAATAAAGGCAAGATGAAAAACAAGCCTTTGCCATTCACTCCACGCACGGACAGTGCTTTTAACTTCTGCCTATTTTGGTGCTGCAAAGAAGCCCCCTAAATGCAAATTGTGTGTGTGTGTGTGTGTGTGTGTGTGTGTGTTGTTCCAAGGCTAGATTATAGCTTTCTCTGTGCATAAAATAACAAAAAACAAGCATAAGCCCCAACAAGAACGGTGAGTATGGAGAAGTAGCCAGATTACTTAAAGTAGCCCCCTGGCTTTCGGAAGCCCAATGCAAGGAGACTTTTGCTGCTACTGAGCCACTGCTGCTCTTGAGCAAATGTCAAGAGGCCTATTCCCAACAAAAGATTGGCAGCCTTTCATTGGGAGTTGGGGGCGGGGGCAGTCAGATTTGGCAGCTCTGCTTAGCAGAGTGATTCAGCTAAAATTTGGCCGGGCTTCAGTAAGCTTTTGTTTGTTTGTGTGTGTGTGTGTATGTGTGCATGTGTGGTTGTTGAATGCTAGAAAACTCCTGGCCAGAACAGGCAGAGAGACAGGATTCCAAGGCACATTTTCATCTCCATCCAGCAGGCTCTCGTCCTGATTGGGCAAGGATAAAGCTGGGCCCAGTGAATTGATCAATGAAGAATGTTCAATGGAAACCAGCCAAAGAAATCATCAAAAAGAGCCGGGACTGGATAGCTCAGAATGATCTGTGATGGTGGGAGGGGGAGAGAAAAAACAAAAGCAGGGGGGGGGGGAGAAAAACCTCCTTTGACTTAAATGGGGATGAATTAGACTAGCCTTGCCTGATTAAAAGAAGGAGTTTGAGCCAACAGAACTTTTTTGGGTGTGCTCTATTAATGGCATACATAGTTCCAGAATTGCTGGATACCTTAGGTGGGAAACTCTTTTCTGGCTGAGGGCCACATTCCCTTCTGGGGGCTGGTGATAGAAGTGGACAGAGCAATATATGTAAAATATTTACATTGTTCGCTAGACGGGTTTCTGCACACACCCGTTTGTGTTCATCCAGGGAACAAAGTGGCATGATCAGAATTCAAGGACAGATTTCAGCCAGGTAAAGAAAATCTTAAGGCCAGATGAATTGAAAGCATGCGGTTTCCCTCAGTCCTCGGAATGGTCATTTACCACTCCCTGTGCTACAGTTCCCAACACCCCCAATGAACTACAGTCCCCAGAGTGGCTTAACCATCAATCCCTCTTCACAAGGAACGTTGGGAGCTGTAACTCTGTGAGGGGAATAGGGGTCTCCTAACGATTCTCAGCCTGCTTAACAAACTACACCTACTAGAATACTTTGAGGAAAGTCATGAGTATTTAAAGTGGTGTGATAGTGCTTTAAATGTTCTGTGTGAATAGTAGTGGGATTTCTGAGTAAGGATGCATGGAGCCCAGCTGCAATTGGGGACCAATAGGCCCCCTGCTTTTCCCTCTTAGTGACCACGCGGAGGCCAGTTGCAATTACTCTTGCCCCACTAATTCCCTCTCCGTCCCACAGCCACCTGCTCGCCCTCCCTCCGCAGCCGTACTTTGTAGTGCACATTATTTCTACCAAGTCATCAGTAACGTCAGCTGGAGCAGATGTCTGTTCTGTAATTGATTAGGTATCTTTCTGCGGCAAAACCGTTTTGAGTTGTGATCAAATGAGCAGTTGGTAGGGCCCAGGCTCTGAGCATCAGAATCTGATTATGTCCTCAGAAAAAACACAGCCTTTGAAGTGGGCCAGAGAACACTTGGGTAATTCCAGTTTATCTGTCTTCTGCAAAATTCATCTCGAAGGGAGGGATTTTTGCCCAGGTGTGTGTGTGGGGGGGGAGGCAACGAGCTTGTTTCCATTATGACCCATCTGTTGACTTCAAAGTTCAGACATTGGCAAGAGATTGATTTAAAAACCTGGCAAGCTGGTTTTGCTTGCTTCTATATACTTGGGGCAACTGTATATAGATTCAGACAACCAGTGTTCTTCCCCCTTCCCAGTCCTATCCCAATTTATTTTTTCCCTAATTTTTATTTACTTTTGAAGTCATCAGGTGTGGGGGATCATGTGCTTAAGAAGGCTGAAGGAGTCTCCGAAGAATTCAGCACTGTTGAGGGACCTCCAGAAATGATCTGGGTCAATGATTTTTGAACTGTAAGTCTGTTGTGTTTAAAAAATATATATAAATAAATTGCTTTACAATACAGTGGTACCTCAGGTTATATACGCTTCAGGTTACAGACTCTCCTAACCCAGAAATGGTGCTTCAGGTTAAGAACTTTGCTTCAGGATAAGAACAGAAATCGGGCTCCGGTGGCGCGGCGGCAGCAGGAGGCCCCATTAGCTAAAGTGGTGCTTCAGGTTAAAAACAGTTTCAGGTTAAGAACGGACCTCCGGAACGAATTAAGTACTTAACCCGAGGTACCACTGTACTGTTGTAGGGGGACAGCAGATATACTGCCTCCTTCCGTACTACGAACCTTCTTGGATGCTAAGATCAGCAAAAAGGCACTCTTGGTAGTTGCTCCACCCGAGAGGGGTTTCCTCTGTGGCAGCCCCTAAGTAGTGAGACTCCCTCCCCACGGAGGTGTGTCTGTCACCTTCGTTGTATAGCTTTTGTCAAATACTGAAGACACACCTCCTTACCCTGGCTTTCGACAATTGAGACATATCTTTTTAGGATCCACCTTATTTCTATGATTGTAAGTTGTTTTGAACTTTTTTTTTTTAAGTGCATTAACAGTTGTAACCTGTTCTGGGACCCTGGGGCAAAGGGCAAGTAAATTGTGACAACAACAACAACAGGATTTCCTGAGGGTGGGGGATCATAAAACCATAGAATCAGAGTTGGAAGGGACCCCCCAAGGGTCATCTAGTCCAACCCTCTGAGCAGTAGCCTATGAGATGACCACAAAGAGAATAATCTCAAACCAGAAAAGTCTTGACTATAAGCACCTATATTAGTATGCATGTAAGAGCAGCAGATGTCAAATTTGTGCTCTGTGGAGCCCTGTGATATTTACTTAGAACAGGGTTAGGGAACGTCAGAGCCAGGGACCAAATGTAGCCCTCCAGGGACTCTTCCCAGGCTACACTTCCTCTTCAGTCACGCCCCCTGTCCCTAGGCCACGCCCCTCATTGAGCCTTCCTTGCACCCTCCAGTGTTCAAACCCAGCATTCTGTTTGGCAGAGCAGAGCAAGTACACTCGTTGTACGTCAGGCAGGATTAAGGCATTGTACTATGGCACCGAGTAAGCCAGATAAGGTATCTGCTTCCATGAGGTCCGGTGGCTTGCCTGCTTAAATAATATTTAAAAGTTTGAACATGCAACATTTCAGCTTTCTTATATTCCAGAAAGCACTTCTCCAACATCTCACTTTCCAAGCTTAAAATCAATACAAGCACAGCTGCACTAGTCATTTCCTAAGGAAAACATTTTTCAGTGTTTCGCCCTCCGCAGTTCCTGAACTGGAAGGATGTTCTAGGAGTCAGCTTTTTACCAAAGCTGAGTGGGGGGGGGGGGAGCAGCTAGGCACACAGATAGGCAAGGCAGCATCAGCCACCCACAAACGAGTAGCAGCCATTAGATGAAAATCTAGTGCAAACAGCTCACTTGCAAGCTTTGTAATAAACCTGATGCAATGCCTATTATGAAACCAGTACAGGTGTGATGAAGTGATGGGAAGATTTCAGCTCTATATCCCCATACCACACAACATACTTCCTGTCCCCATAATCCTATGTCTTCTTCCGTTCCATAAGAACGGAAAGGCCAGCAAAACATCTTGACTCTTATTTGAAAGGAGCCTGGATGGCAGTGGATATTTCGAGAACAGGAACTAGTTTGAAGTGCCCATCCAGTTAAGGCTGCCAACTCAGGAGCACCCCAGATCCTGAAATTTCAAGACCGAAACCTGAGAGCGACCCCTGTTGATTCTTCTTCTGCTTTCCCTGCTACCACTGAGCCCTGGAGATGGAGGTTAATTGGGAGAGGAGGGAGCAAAGGAAGGCAGCCCCCCTCCCCCTGCCGAGAGCCTATGTAATAATTCACAGACAGATCCTGTGGAGCTGAAGCTTACACACATAGTCTTAATTTAGTTTTGAAACAAAACAATGCACTCTCACCCACCTGGAGGGGACCAGGCAAACGTGGAGACTTCAGGTCAGCCTGGGGGTCCGACAACCCTATCCCTAACATTTTACATGGGAATTTCCGTTCTCTGCAAGAAGGAACGCAGATAGGCCCAGGATCTCTAGCCAGAGTTAATTCTGTGTGAGTAATAAAATGGCTTCCAAGCCTGGATGTGTTTTTGGCACAACTGTTTTCCTTTTGTGTGTGTTTCCCCATTACTGGGACCTCCCAGAATGTAGGAAGGCTTTTTACTGGCAGCTGGAAATTCTAATGAATTCTTCTAACTTGACAAGAAAGCCACGAGGCCTACATGCACACGCGCGCACACACACACACACACACACACACACACACACACACAGCCCCTTCAAATCATACACATGACAGTAATTATCTCCTTTGCTGATGTCGAAAAAAAGCCAAAGTTTGCGTCATGCTGGATACCTCCAATAATCATTTGCATGGAGATGTGGCGTCTGTGGCATCAGGACATCCCAGCGCCAGCACTGGGGCACATGCTGGCACAAAGGCTCAATTAACAGCAACGAAGCTGCAAGAGAACAGCTCAGGTGACGGAACGAAATCAGAATCTGAGTGTCAAGAAATGAGATGGCACACTAGCCTGTATTCTGGGATGGTTGTTTTGTTTCTGTTTTCATGGATCGAGTGCTGAGGGAAATTACATCCATACTTGGTAAAGATTCCTGGGAACTGAGGCTGCTGCTAGTTGTTAGGAGGACTCTATTGCCCTCACAGAGCTACAGTTCCCTGTGAAGAGGGATTGATTGTTAACCCACTCTGGGAATTGTAGCTCTGTGAGGGGACAAGAACACGTTTAGGAAACCTTACTTGGGTTCAGAAGTACCCAAACAAGCAAAATAAGCCCATGTCCACATACTGATCTATGTAAGCAGCTTTCATGCTATGTTCCAGAAACTCCTGAGGCTCCTCAGGTAGATCGTTGTTTATTAGAGGATTGGCAATAGCAGCTGTCAAGGCCCCAGCCCCAACCTCTCTGTGGTATAGTGGTTAGAGTGCTGGACTAAGACCTAGGAGACCAGAGTTCAAATCCCCACTCAGCTATGAAGCTTGGGCCAATCACTGTCTCTTTAAGTACCCTACCTCAAAGGGTTGTTTTCAAGATAAAAAAGGGGGGAAGAGAGAACTGCACACACCACCTTGATTTCCATGGTGAAAAGGTGGGATAGAAATGTTCAAATAAATAAAAAGGGGGGTTCGGTCTTGGGGCCACCATTTAAATTTCCCACAAATCCCCTGGAGTGATGTTTTGGGGAGCATTGTGGAAATTAAAATGGCAACTACCAGCCGTGCAGGGCTGATCCAGAGTGCTGCTTCTTCCACCACTGTTGCTGCTACTACTAGGTAAGCGGGCATGTATGGGCCTGAGCCTTAAACCCAGTGGCTAAACTTACCCAGAATCCTTTGCACCATGCAAGGGTTCTGTGGCAAACAGCCAGCATGGAAAGGGGCTCCATAAAGGTGCAGGGGGAGGGGAGGAGGAATTGATTTAGCTAATCCATTTCGAACACTTTATAAAGAAATGCATGCATGCATGCATGCATTCTTTTCTGAGAGCAAAATCTGGGTTTCTCTTTGGCCCAAAAACTTGCACTTTTGTGTGAGCTGCAAAGTATGAGGAGCCACTGAGTCTCCTTTCATTCTCCTGAATTCCTTTTCTTCAATTCCTGACAATACCAAGGGGAGCTCTGTGGAATTCTGCCACCAGGGTGCGTTGGTAATGAAAGAGGAAAGACCAATATGTTGTGGCAATGTGATGTCTTGTCCGGACTCAAGTGGAAGGGGGAGCAAGGAGGAACAACATGTCACTTTTGATCCTGATTCTTCTGAGGAGGGACAGGATCAGGACCTCAAACTTACTTCTGAGAGCAAAAGGGAGGGAAACCGGCCCAGACAGTTTTACAGAGGGAACCTTTTCTCGAGAAGAGACAAAACTAACAAGACACCTTAAACTTGTGTGGCAGCCTTTGAAAAAAATAGAGAGTTCAAAAGGATGAAGCTTTCTAAATTCACAAGAAAGATGAAAAAGGAGCTGGAAGGCAAAGAACAAGAGGTACCCCTCCTCCGCCAACCTTGCTCTGGCCAAGCTGAATAAGCTGCATGGTCTTATAACAGATGGAAGGAAGATGCTTGAATTGTGCAGCTATAGGTGGGGGGGGGGGGATATGATTCCGTTTGCTTTTAAAGCCAAAAGTATCAGCTTTGCACTTTCTAAAACAATATGTGAACCAAATCACAGCTATCCTTCAAAATCTGCAGCTATCTGACTTTTGCAATGCAGTTCTCCAACCAAACAGTATTTACTACTGTTGTTGTTGTTGTAAACCCTGTTTCCCTCCCAGAGCTACAGTTTCCACAGTGGTTTAACAATCAGTCCTTCTTCACAGGAACTGATACACAACTGGAATTTGTAGCCCTGTGTGGGGAATAGGGGTCTTCTAACAACTATCAGAAACCTTAACAAACCACTGCTCCCAGAATTTTATGGGGGAAGCCATGACAGTTTAAGTGGTATCATAGTGCTCTAAATGGATGGTGTGAATTTGGCCTAAGTGTGGTGAAAGTGGTTTTGAAACAGATTCTCTGCCATCAAAGCAAATGCTGCAGGATGCAATTCTAATTCACTTCAACTGTGCTCTCGTTAGCAGCAAATTCTACATATGCCCTCATCACCCATTGCATCTTGAGTGGCACCCATCGGTCAGAATCAGGCTTGCCAGGTGCCAACAAAGACAACCCAGATACCACCCTTTAACCCAGAGATTTTGGCAGTTGAGAAAAGCAGCCTAAATTCCAGGTTTTATATTCCATTCTGTTCTGAAGGAGAGCTGTGTTTTGGTTCATGTTAAAATGAAAACCAAACTTAATTTCTTCCCCACCCATAGCCTTAATCCTTGATTAATTCCTATCTTTCCTCTCCTTCAGCAAATCATCAGCTATTTCCCCAGCCATTCCCCCCTCTCTTTTAATTGTATTGTTATTTTAAAACAAAAACGGGGAGGGGGCAATTACAGGCAATTGCAAGGGTAAGAACATTGCTGGGAAGGAGCATGCTACATCATAAATTCATCTGGGATGTACGGTAAATCAGTGGCCAGATGTCTCTCCACATGTGACCATGTCTCTTGATTTTTTTCTTAGGCTAAGAGACATTTTGAGGGCACATCTAGATTTGTGTGTGGAAGGTGTGTGTATAAAAAATGAGCCTCTGATTTTAGGTGGGGCTGGGCATCTGAATTCATTTATTCATGGTCTCAGGGCATATGGCACACAGGTCTGCAGAGATGTAAGCCCCAAAGCATATTGCCCCATTTTGCCATCAGACCCTTTAGAATGTTTGTAGAATGAGAAACATTACGAAATATGTTCCCTGGTAGTCTCTAGGGTTGGCCAAAGTGATTCATGCTTTCTCAAACAGGCTTAATGGTCCACATGTGTTTAGACTTCTTGAAACTGCTGTTTGGGGGCAGGGGGAAGGCTTAGCTGGATGGGTTTAACAGCAAGACCAAATCTTGTCAAAAACAACAACCTAACTTTCAGTTCAGATTGGGAATTTAACATCCTCTTTTTATGTATTTTTATTATTTTCTCAAAGGCTTCCCATTTTAATTACAAAACTGATTTGAAACTTCTTTTTTATTGTGCCACAGCTGCCTCTGAGATTCTTCACTGGATACTGAATTACAACTGATGATCTTTTAGTGCAATCCTATGTAGATTTACCCAGAAGTAAGTGCCTGATGTGGAAGAGGGAAAAGGATGGGGGGTGTTAGGCCCACTGTGGCCGATCAGAGAATCATAGAGTTGTAGAGTTGGAAGGTACCCTGAGGGTCACCTGGTCTAAACTCCTGCAATGCAAGAATCTCAACTAGATCATACGTGACAGATAACCATCCAACCTCTGCTTAAACATGAAGAGAAGAGGTATCCTATCCCATCTCACTTCACTTTGAACATTGCACTGAGTTTATTAATGCTTAGTCCCAGGTAAAAGTTCATAGGATCGTAGCCATAAAAAGCTTTGCAGGAATTCTCTTTTCACAGTCACCTGGCATTCAGAGGCATGCTTCCTCTCACAGTGAAGGTAGACTATAGCTGTCATGGATAGTAGCAACTGATAGATTTACCCTCTGTGAAATAGACCCTTGATAAGGGTCTTGGTGCCCTACTCAAGACTTAAGGAAGCTGTGGTGGACTTTGGGCTCTCAAATTCCAGCAGCAGCCTATGTGATGGTAAATTTTGGCACCCTCTGCCGCTCCATTCTACATCATTGTTGCAGCCCTGGCACCCAGTGCAGCCCAACTGACCATGCTACCCTAAAACCACCTCTGAAGGAAAGACGTCAGCTCAGTGGTGGAGCATCTGCTTTAATGCAGAAGGTCTTAGGTTCAATCCTTGGGGTCTCCAGGTAAGACTGTGAATGTTCCCTCTCTGAAACCTTGCTGCCAGTCCGTGTAGAGAATATTGAGCTGAATGTCCTAACTCAATAAGGCACTAGGCAGTTTCTTACATTACTGTAAGATGAGGGGGAGATGTCTTGTGGTATTACTAAGCAGCACCTTTTTTCTTCTCTTCTCTTTTTCTTCTGTCAATGGCGTTTGGCTTCAGAGAGTTTTTTCCCTTTCTGGGTTGCATCAAAGCACGTCCTGCCTCATCGCACCTTAGAGCATCCTCAGAGCGCAGTGACATGATCTGTGCCAGCCCACCTGGAAACACAACCGTTACAAAGCAGCAGCATCACCGATTCTCTTTCTACTTCTGCCATCAATGAACTGGAGAAAACAAGAGGCAGGAGCAGACCAAACAGTGGGGATGCAGGCAGGGTAAGAATCGCTTTCTTTGTAAGGATAGAGGATGTAAGCCAAAATTCACCCCCCTGTCTTGTCAGCGAAGTTCCAGGCGTCAGCAGAGGATGCTGGCTGAACTTTGCCACTTTCTTCATAACATACTACAGCTCACGTGGCAGAGCCCTCATCTTACCCCCATGATAGAGGTGACATGATAGAAGTTTATAAAACCATGCACGGCATGGAGAAAGTGGAGAGAGAAAAACTTTTCTCATAACACTAGAACTCATGGACATCCAATGAAGCTGAACGTCGGAAGATTCAGGACAGAGAAAATAAAGTACTTATTCATGCAGTGTGCAGATCAACGATCGAACACGCTTCCATAGGAGGCAGCTATGGCCACCAACTTGGACGGCTGTAAAATGACAAATTCATGCAGGAGAGGGCTATCAGTAGCTGCTAGCCATGATGGCTATGCTCTGTCTCCATGTTTGGAGACAGTATCTTTGAGTACCAGTTGCTGGAAACCACAGGCGGGGAGAGGGCTCTTGCGGTTGGATCCTGCTTGCCTGTTTCCCACAGGCATGTGGTTGGCCACTGTAAGAACAGGATGCTGGACCAGATGGGCCATTGGCCTGATCCAGCAGGTTCTTATATGTTCTTTTGATTGCTGCATTCTCGCCTCGGTATCCAGAGACGTTCAGATTGCATCACTGCAGTTAGATTCATTATTTCCAATTGTTCCCAAAAGTTCCTAACTGTTTCCAATTTCTTTGGCTCTCTTGCTCTTTCCATGCTTTGGCGTAGAGTGTCCTGGCTATGGCCATTATATACAAAATCCGTTCTTGATTTTGTTTTATACTGTCTTGGCCTTGTTTGGCCTTGGCATGCTTAAGATTCTTTTTTCCAAGAAATACTTGGGTCCAAACTAGACACAGTGGGAGCTCCATCAGGATGCAGATCCAAGAGACCCATGGCTGAGGCTGGGCTACGCAGGTGTAACTCCTCAGCTCAGATATGGGACCCAGCTGCCTGAGCCAAGCCTAGCAGATTGTAAACCCTAAAAAGGGGGTGTTCTGGCAGCAGGACCAGAGACAGGGGTCTTAGGTGGGATTCTAAGATCGTTTAGCTTAACCTATGACAACCTGTCATAGGTTAAGCCAGCAAAAAGGATGATATAACTCAAATACTATTTTAAGGGCTTGTTTTTCCTCTGCCAGGCTTAGGCCTGCTCAGCCAGCAGCAGCCTTGCTCCTAAACAAATTTTGGAACTGGGCGCCCCTATTTTTATCAAAGAAACGTTGAAGGGTATGGAGTTATGTGACCCCCAAGCCGAGGAGATAAGTACTGTAACTATACAACCTTTAGAAGACACCTGAAAGCAGCCCTGTATAGGGATGTTTTAAAATGTTTAATGTTTTTTGTGGTTTTATATATGTTGGAAAGCTGCCCAGAGTGACTGGGGCAACCCAGTCAGGTGGGTGGGGTATAAATAATAAATTTATTATTATTATAGAATAGGACGTCCCTATTTTTATTGGAGAAATTTTGGAAGGCGTGGTGAATTGTTTGTCTGCTGGGTGTTGTTCCTTCTCAGGTCTAGCTCATGAAGAAGCTTGTTTACTGGCAATGCAGCAGCATAGATTTATGTTTGCACCGTTTACAATCACACCGTGCTCGCATTTGTTCTTGTCAGTCAAGTAGTGATCTATTAATCAAACAGGACGCCAGGGGTGTTCATTACAAAAAAAAAAAAAAAAGGTATGAAGACTGAATATGAATGGTAATTTTAGTGCTTTTGACAAACAAGGATTGTTAAGCCCCCCTGCCCCCATGCACTATCAATTCATTATTAAGGGCTTGCTTGTAGTTAAGTGACAAGAACCCCAAATCTCTTATTCAGTCACTGACATGGCAGTTTATTCCTGCTCACCCCACCCAGCCCCAGTTCTGTTCATTCAGTGCCTAAGAATCCCCGCTGCTCTTCCCAGCATGCACTGCTGTGTGACCCTTGACCTCTGGCAGTGATTAATTGTCTTAGTGTCATAGCAATCACTTTGCTCTCTCTGATCCGCGCTCACTTTGTTCTCTCTGATCCTCGCTCACTTTTTCTCGCCAGATCTCTCCCCCCCCCCCATTTTTAAAAAATCTCTCCAGTATCCTGGTTGCTATAAAACAAATTAAGAGAAATGGCCTGTTGCTGGACCCCAAATCTCTTAATTCTTGATTCTGAGGCAGCTTTCTGCTCATGTTCTTTTTTATTTTTATTTTACCTTGGATCTGATGAACTTGGAGGAGGTGATCTGCATCTGTGTCTGGACTCTAGCATACCCTCCAAGTGTCCTGATTTTCCAGGGACAGTCCCAGAACTATGAAAGTCATCCCAGCTTCTGATTTGATACCGGAATGTCCCTATTTCCCCTGCCAGGGCCGCCAGAACTGAGCTCACGGAGGAGGAGGAGACTGTGCTTCTCCCGAGCTGCAGCGGAAGCTGCGAGAGAGCACCCGGCCTCCCCATGCCCGCTGCTGCCAGGCTCCTCCATTGAACAGTTCGTGGCGGCGGCTGGCGAGTAGTCAAGGAGGAGAGGCTGCGGCTGCTGCAGCAGGAAAGGGGGAGGAAAGCAGAGCAAAAGGAGTCTTGGTTTTTTAAAAAATGTGCTTTATGTGTCCGCATCTAATCTTGTCCCTTTCTAAAATTTATTTATTGATGTGTGCTTTACTTTTTGTAAATCTACCAAATAATAAAATAAAATTGGGATTAAAGGGTTTTCTCTGGATGGTGGAAGGTGTGTGTCCCTTGGTGAAGTGGCGGCGGCACTTGCCCTACTTCTGATAGGAAATGCTGTGGGGGGAGGGATGGAGACAAAAATGGGGTCTGTTTGAGGAGGGTCAGTTTGGGGTGTGGGGAATGTCCCTATTTTCATCTGAGGAATGTTGGAGGGTATGCTCTAGGCTGGGCAGAAAGGCAGGTCTGTGGCAAGACTCCTGCCTGGCACCCTGCAGATTTGCTGCCAGTCGGTGTAGTCAGTATTGAGCAAGATTGGACAATGATCTGCTTCCAGACTTGCCACTGTTTTCAAGGTTCAATTAATAAGGGAGGTCTTGCACAATGAACTCATTTCCCTTAAAGAACAAACTTTCTGCGAGAAGGAAAGTGGTGGGGGAAATCCGCTAGAAAGTGTGGATGAACATTTGCTTTGGCACACAATGGCCACATCTACAGTATACATGTAAAGCACACAGCTGTCCTAAAATTAAAATAAAAAATCATGGGAACTGTAGTTTACCTCTCAAAGAGCTACAATTCCCAATACCCATAATGTGCTTTACATGATGGTGTGGATGTAGCCGAGGACATCTAACCCCCATGCAAACAAATTAAATATCCAGCATGACTAATCTCCTTGAAAACAAACAGGGTGACTGGTCAATAAACAGCCCACCAGAAAGCACCCAAAGGCAGCCTCAAATGCTCTCTTCTCTTTGGCTAGAGCAGGGGTCTGCAACCCGCGGCTCCGGAGCCGCATGTGGCTCTTTTACATCTTTGCTGCGGCTCCGGGGCGGATACTAGCGAGGGGAGGAGGCGCATTGTGCGCCCCAACACTCCTCACTGTGGCGGGCGCTGTACTGGCTGTGACGTCGCATGGGGGCGGTGCGTGCGTCAGTCACGCACTGTCCCAACGTCACCTTCCCACCCGCTGTCAGATCGCAGCTCCAGAGATATATTTGTTTTAAATGTCGCAATGGTTTTGCGGCTCCCAGTTGTTGTTTTTTCTTCGGAAACGGGTCCAAGTGGCTCTTTTTGTCTTAAAGGTTGCAGACCCCTGGGCTAGAGCGAAAGGGAGACCCAAGGCTCTCTCCATAAGCCAATGCTCACTGTTCATCTGTGTCCATTGTGTCTGCGTTGAACAAGAGCTTGTTATCTTTGGTGACATAAGAGTGAAAAGACAGGTAAATATCCACCTCTTAGGCTCACTCAAATCACACAAGGAACCTTTTTCCTGTGAGTGAAGCTTGCTGTGTTTAGGACTTTTTAGTTTAGAGAAAAGATGAGCAAAAGGTGGCAAGTTTATAAAATTATTCATGGCATGGAGAAAGTGGATAGAGAGGAGGCCCTCCCCCCTCTTATAACACTCAAACTCATGGACATCCAATGAAGATTCAGGACAGATAAAAGAAAGAACTTCTTCAGGCAGCACTGAGTTAAACTATGGAACCGGTTTAGATGCCTTTTGAAGAGGATTAGACAAATTAATGGAGGAGAAGGCTATGGATGGCCACTAGCCATGATGACTGTGCTCAGCCCACATAGTCAGAGACAGCAATGTTTCTGAATATCAGTTGCTGGAAACCACATTTATTTCTTCCAAATCCTGCTAAAACAGAATTAGCAGAAACAATATCAATCCACTTTGGGGTTGTTGTTTTTTATTAAAAAAAAAAAAAACCAGAAGTGAGGGAAAACACTTAGCAGTTTTACATTCTTGATTCTGCTACTGAGGATGGATGCGTTAGCTGTGTGGTATCTTTGTGACACTTGTTCAAGCATGGTGTGATTGTTAATTATTTCCCTCCAACGCTTTAATGTTGATTTGACAGGTTGTCAGGTTGTTTCTCTCTCTCCCCCTCCCCCAGCGTTGCCTTGTCTATTTTGCAAAAGTATTGCACATGGTTGTGGTTGAAGAAATGTAAGCATATGCCTGTGTGTGTGTGTGTGTGTTTAAATCGTGCAATGAAATTAAATGGTGTATGACAAGAATATTCTTTAAATAAGCCTTTAATGTGTGTGACACCTTTTGGAGGAAATAATGGAAGCTGGTTTTGTATTTACAGCTGCAGTTTCTACAACCAGTCCTGTATTGATTCTGCAAACCCCCTTATTAACACCTGGCTGCGCTTTTGCAGTTTGCTGTTTGCCTGTGAGATTAACCCGGACAATTGCTTAAGTGAGTACAACTGCTCCCATGGTCCCGAGGTGATAAAAACCCTCCCCCCCATCTGCAGTCTATCTGAAGGAGATAATAAGTTTCAACAGAAGGCTGTGTAGTGGTGCTGTATCTTTGGAACTCTCTCCTAGCTTTTAAGTGTACCTTGAAAATGTATTTGTCTGAAACAGCAATCAATTAAATGGCTTTAAAATGTTTTTAAGTGCTTTGACTTGGCTTTTAAACGGCTTTAGACCTGTTTTAGGTTTTGTGATTAGATTGTCTCCTTGGTATTTTAAAGATTGTTTTATGGAGTTAATTATCTTCTGTAAGATGCCTAAGAAGCGCAAATCCCTGAAAAATGGCATACATTTTTAAACAAAATAGTTTGTGGATCTTGACTACTGGTGGAATTCCAAAGGTGTGCCACTTGATTGTTTCTACAGATATTCTGCTCCAGTCTTCTCTGAGCACCTAGAAGTGCTGCTCTTCCATAGAGCTATGCCTAACCTCTCTGCATTACTCATTGCTGTGGATGTGTTTCCTTTTAATCACGCCCCATCTGCACTAAACATTAAAGTGGCATGATACAGCCATAGCTTCCCCTGTAGAGCTTTAAACAGTCATAGATTTCACCCCAGGGAATCCTAGGAACTGTAGTTTGTTAAAGGTGCTGAGAGTTGTTAGGAGATTCCTATTCGCCTCCCAGAGCTATGTTGCTTTGCCATTTGAACTTAATGGCCCCAGATTCCTCCAGGCAGATCTTCCTCGGCAAAGTCATGTTAAATGCGCAGAACTGGAAATTTCCCAAGCAGCGGTGCATTGATAAAATTTGGGAGATCTGAATTACGTACCAACTCACTCTACAAGTGCAGTGAGCAGCAGTCCAATTTTTCAAAAGATGTTATGACTGCCGTGGCTTCCGTTTTATCTCCTTGGTGGAAGCTCTTCAAGATTCTGACCACATTCCAATCAAATGCAGATGTAGGTATATATTTTTTCTGACTGCGATTCCATTATATAACTTATGTGCTGAAGCTCTCTTAGCGCAGATGAACGCATCTAGTTGTGCTGATGCAAGTGTACCATGACGTTTTTTTCTTCCTGAGCTCCTCCCAGTGGGCACCAGTCTCCCGTTAGATCTTGCATTTTTAAAAAATTCTGTTTTCAATGCCATGTGCATTTTCACACACACTTTATCCCATTATGTGCATTTTTGTACGCATTGCTCAGCTGGAGAACTGCATTGCAAAATCTGGAGTAGTATAGATTACAAAGGATGGCTGCATTTCAGTTTGCACGTTGTTTTGAAAGTTGGTAAGGTCCCCCTTTCCAAGTGAACTGAACCTAATTTCTGCCCCTGCCAACCCTATCAAACTCTATGGGGCCTAAGTTAGCCATGGCTCAAGTCTCATTGATTTCAATGGGAGCTCAATCCAGCTACCTGAAGCTTGGATCCAACCTGTTGTCTTGACAGATGATTGACAGAGGTGCAGTATATCCTGTGGCTTCTTTGGACTAGGCAAGTCATCTTAGATTTCTTTGACATGTTAGAGAGTTGAGAAACTGCTCCATTTCAAAGCACACAGATAGGATGTCGGTATGTGCCCGCGCACCGACGTCTTCAGATGTTTGCTAAGGTTGGATACATGATCTTGTTTGGCTTAACAAGCAAACAGTACGAGATCGCCTTGTCCCTTGGCATTCTTAGAAACCAGGGTAAATCATTGAGGAAAATCCCCCCCCCCTTTACGTTCCTTCCATGCAAGCAAAGAGAAACCTCCCTCCCTCTCCTCTCTCCCTTCTCTTTGGCTGGAGTTCCTTGTGTACTTGGAACACTCTGCTGAGCTCGTGAGCTCTTGACAAGTGCGTGAGGATCAGAGACACCGAATACCTGGGCTGCGGCTGCAACAATTATATTTTCCAAACGTTTTAGGGTGTTTAACAGCTAGGAATGCTAATTCCGTGCACTTTTACCGCTTGGTGGCTACTGGTAGCTTGTCAACATGTGGAGCTGCTTTGCCTCAGCTTCTCTCTAGGCTTGCATGCTGTGGAGTGCAAGTAATATGTTTAGCGTGCGGTTATTGCAAACGAAAGGAAAGCCAGTGTGGCTTAGTGGTCAGTGTTGAACTAGGAACAGGAAGATTCCCGTTCAAGTCCTCCTCACTTGCCCACAAAGCTTATTGAGTGAATTTTCAGCCAATTATTCTCTCTTAGCATGTCCCCCCTCCTAGGGTTGTTGTGAGGATAAAAAGGCTGGGGGAGATGAACTTTCCTGTGATGCAAATAGCGGGTTGTATCCAATGTTAGGCCTACTCAGAGTAGGCAAATTGAAATTAATAGGGATTGCTAGCTTAGGTCCATAAATATGGTTGGGTCTGAGTAAAACTTGGTTGATTGCAACCAAGGGTTGTTAACAGACCAGAGAAAAATTGGCTTGATGGGAGTGGAGGGAGCAGTTTTCATCTCCTCCTTCAAGCTTTTAAAAAAAATTTTTTTTTTAAAAAAAGGAAGAAGTTGTGTCTCTTTGCTACATAGACAGCTTTTAGTTTGTCTGTGCCCAGGACCCACAGCCAATAGCTGGTTCCGCCCCTACTCTCTGTTCTTAGACTCATTCTGGGTTCCACCCCTTGGAGTTGGTGACCTTAAACATAAATAGTTGAGAGACAGCATTGCCCTGTGGTTAGAGTGCTGGGCTAAGACCCAGGCTGCAAATCTTACTAGGTGACATTGGTAAGTCACTAACACTCAGCTTGACTATCTTCCAACTTTGCAGGGTTGATGATAAAATGAAGTTGGGGTGTGGGGATTGTGCTCCCATAACAAGGAGTAGCTGGATTAAAATGCAATGAGTAAATTAATTAGGTCCATGTCCAGGCCTAAGATACATATTTCTCTCTGTGTGTGTTTTGGGGGCCAGAAAGAGAAGAGCTACGTCTCACTTTTCACACATTGCAGCCTTGCTCCAAATTATAAGGATATATGAGGAGGGCCCTGCTGGATAGGAGCAAAGGCTTAGCTTAGCCTCCTGGGGTGCAACAAGATAAGGGTTTAATACTGTAAACAAGTGGTGGTGGTGGTTATTATTATTATTATTATTATTAATTACCTGCCCTTCAGCCTAAAGTCCCAGGGCAGATTGCAGCATTTAAAACACATTATTAAAAGCCATTTAAAACAACTTAAAACCACAGGACTAAGGTGGGACTTAAAAATATGCCTCTGCATTGTCAAAAGCCAAGGTAAAGAAGGCTGTATAATGAAAGTGCCAGACTCACCCATGTGGGGAGGGAGTTCCACAACAGTGTTTAAATTTATCAGACCTTATCTGGGAAGCAGCAATCAAGAGTAAATGTGGAATGCTGGGGGGAGATATTTGGGCTGTCATTCGGATGCCAGCAATGCAATGTAGGCATTAGGGATTTAATGGCAAATATACCTAATCTGTACTTTCCAAAACAATCCTGGAACCAAAATGCAGCCATTCACAAGCCATTCACTCCAAAATTTACAGTTCAGTTCCCCTGTTGGGTAATGTCTATGAAAAACTGCACATACCAAAGCATGCATACAACAAATGTATTTGTTATTAAACATAACATACAAAAATGCATTACATTGGAGAAAACTGGCTTTGCAGAAATGTGTGGGACCTCTCTGTACAAAAACATTCCCTTCATCCCATTGTAGTCAGGAGGTGTTATCTACTGTGGAGCTATCTTCATGCATAAGAACAAAGGACAATGATGGTTGAAGGGGACATTCTCTTGCTTGGTGGCTTGTGAGTCATAGCCAATGTCTGACATGGGAAAAATAACTTGAGACAAGTTTTACTGGGTGACCTTGGAGGGATGTGTGGTCTGTTGGCTCCCAAGGTTGTGGCTCTTTGGAGATGAGAGGCAGGTTTTGTTGTCCTGGGATCGGCAAGTATTTGAATGTAATAATAAATACTTCAGGAATGATAGTTTTCAAGGGAACAGATAAAGTTAAGTAGGAAGAAAGGACACATACCATGATGTTTATAACCACTGTGTTATCTTGCCAGTCAGCAAGAATAAAAACGGTGGAGTCCTAAAGAGATTGGGGGGGGGGCATAAATCCCATAGCGATGAGTCCATCTGCATGCCTTAATCTTAAGCAATCCATCCTTTATTCTCTCTTTTTTTAGTCTCACTAGGCATTCAATAACGGTGTTAGAGCCTGGGATGGCAACAGTAGCTGCCTGGAGGACTCCCAAGGAGAGGGAGAGGAAGCTGAGGGACCACTCCACAAGGGAAGGTGTTTGAAAAAGGGTGAGATGCTGTCAGCTCTGCAGGCAAGGGGTGATATAACTGGGCTCCTGAGCCCCACAGGGGTGCTGCGGAAAGAATATAGTTGGTCAAGGGAGCTGTGGACTCAAAAAGGTTGAAAACCTCTGTTCTAGGGAGTTTCAGACACTTACCCAGGGTCTGTGTGTCTTTTTGGAAAATAAGGCACAGCGATTAAAAAGCAGAGACATCACCTTGCTAACAAATGCCCGTATAGTTAAAGCTATGGTTTTCCCAGTAATGATGTATGGAAGTGAAAGCTGGACCATAAAGAAGGCTGATTGCCGAAGAATTGATGCTTTTGAATTATGGTGCTGGAGGAGACTCTTGAGAGTCCCATGGACTGCAAGAAGATCAAACTTATCCATTCTTAAGGAAATCAGCCCTGAGTGCTCACTGGAAGGACAGATCCTGAAGCTGAGGCTCCAATACTTTGGGCCACCTCATGAGAAGAGAAGACTCCCTGGAAAAGACCGTGATGCTGGGAAAGATGGAGGGCACAAGGAGAAGGGGAAGACAGAGGATGAGATGGTTGGACAGTGTTCTCGAAGGTATCAGCATGAGTTTGACCAAACTGCGGGAGGCAGTGGAAGACAGGAGTGCCTGGTGTGCTCTGGTCCATGGGGTGACAAAGAGTTGGACACGACTAAACAACTAAACAACAACACAACCTGAGCCAATGATGGAGGGGTCCCCAGTATTACACTCAAAGAGGGCCTTGCCTCTTCCAGAAGCGCAGCATTGGGTTCAGACATCAGCTATTTTTCTCTGCCTCTTGCTCTCTGCTTGTCACATAACATCTTCCTCCCAGCTTCTAAACCACAGTTGCTTTTCCTGAGGTGTGAAAGGAGTCCCACCCCATAGTTGCCTCACAGAGATTCCTGGTGATCCATTGTTGTGCTAACGGCTCATTGCCCCACAGGCTAACACTTCCAAGGAAATTAGTCTGAGTTATTCCATGGGATTTGTTAGGTGTTGAAATACACAGTTTAGGAAGTTTGCCTAGCTAAATTAATTCTTTCACATATGTTAATTCCAGAGAATTAAAAGCATCCAACACACATCTTAACACACATGGGTCTGGCAACAGACTGGCCTTAATTAAATTCTAACACTAACTTGATCTGGAATTTAGGGTGACTTGCACCCACAGATTCATAACAATACAAAGCAAAGGAGCTTTCCAAGCAATTCAGATAATATGCAGGATTGTATATTGTTTTTTGCTTCTTCAGAATCAAATTGGATAATTCTTAATAGATGGCAGTCATTATTCCCCTCAAAACTCAAATTTTCTTTCAGGAATATGTTGTTCCTGTTGATCTTATTTTTAAAAATATAATATACTGCCTCCCGTTTGATAATGTTAGAATATAGGAGTGAAGCCGCAATATATGTATTAATTGTCACTTAGGAAGATATTCAGCTACATTTTATGCAGAGAAGGTCAATTGTAATTAATGGAGCTAACTTAGGGCTCACCCAGATTTGTGTTTATCCAGCACCTAGAAAGCATGGATCCAAGCAATTTTCCATTTGTCTTGAAATTTCTTGGCACAGGTCTAAGTGTGCCCTTGCCCCCACTGCTTTTATTAGTGATAAATTGGAGCAAACATCAATCTGGAGAAAACCCAATTTCTCTTCTTTGCCTCCAAATTTCACTTTGATCTAAATTGGCTGTATAAACAAAAATTGGGCAGTTAAGATTCCATAGGCCAGTTTTAAAAATAATATAAAATCCAAACTACCGTGTGTGTGTGTGTTGGGGGGGGGAGTGTTTTCCATTCCAAATAAGAGCATTTGCCTAGAATGGAACCAGAGATCTTGTTCCGAGGAGCGCAAAACAATTTTAATGCCAACAATATTTTACATAGTAGAATACTTCCCTTACCCGCTGACTCTTCCATATAGGAGCAAGCCCAAAGGAACATTTCATGTGGAATTATTTAATTTTGATTAACAGAATGCTACTTTTAGCTGGGAAAAATGTTCCCATAGACTGGTAGGCAACAGAAAGGCTGTATAAAGCCAGATTACATCACTTCTTTCTCAGAGCAACAAAAGACCAATGGCATCCCCTCTTGCTGAGAGTAAATTAGCAGCAACTTTGGATCCAGGGCAAATACTTCAGAAATTAGGGGGTTACTGGCTCCTTCTAGGACCTGACACCTATTTTGCAAAGCACATCCAGAATTTCCTTTTGGTTCTTAAGTCCATTTCCGTACTTTTAAATATTTTTACTATACCAACCTGTAGGTTTCTGAACGGAAAACTTCTAATGAGTGCAACTGGGAATGCAAAATGGTCAGTTTAAATTTGAGAAACAGTGACTGGGAAATTTGGAAGATGAGAGAAGCCAAAATGGATAGATTTGGCCATTTCTAATTGCCAGATTCCATTTCTGAATTAAATATAGGAAGTGAAAAAATAATTATATATGGTTAAGGAGGAGGAGTATAGTCACATCCACAGCATACATCCAAAGCACACAACTTCCCCCAAACACACCCTGAGAACTGTCATTTCCCCCTCACACAGAGCTATGATTCCCAGCACCCTTAATAAACTACAGGTGCAGATTTGATCTATGTATTTATGTGTGTATGAAGGACTTTGGGGGAAAATTCCCCATGAGGTGGGGAAAGGGGGGAAATATTTCGCTTCTGGTTTTTGTAAAGCTTGTTCAGGATTTAATGTCTGGCTGTAAGATCATTCACCTTTCTGTCTTCAAAGCAACCTGAAGAAAGAAGGGAACGGGAGACGTCAAAGATGTTCATAAATCACCGAAAAGGAGAAGAAGCCGCAGACCATCAAATGTGCAACAGAGCAAGGCATTTTACGGGTATATCTGAAGGAAAGGGGTAGGAGTGGGAATCTGTTCTGGTTTTTCGGTTTCCAAGTGCGTAATGCTGTCCTGCTAGCCAAGTATCTCAGGAGTGGAAGACTCTTCAGCACACAGTTGGTATGTGACTCTTGCAGCACCTGAGAAAATATACAGGCAGTGTGCCGGCCACAGGAATTTCATCCAGAATACGTGCTGCTGTTACAACCAGCAAACTCCACACATCATGTGCAGATGTTCATAGGAAGCTGCCCTATATAAAAGCAGGCTATTGGCCCATCTAGCTCAGTATTGTGACTTAGGCCTCCTCCAGATGACCGATTTATTGAGCTTTGCTTGCACAAAGCTTATGTGAGGTTAGACCGGTGGTTTCCAAACTTAAGTCACACCCCCCCTTTTGTTCCATAAACTTATTCTCAGTGCCTCCACCCTATAAAAAGCTCTACTCAGAATAGCAGTTTGCATGGCCAACTGAGGAATATAACAACACAATAAAATTCAAAACAGTAGCAATTAATTGTTCATTTATCCAAAATACAATTTAAACTATTTAGTTTAATTAATTCAACAAAATCATAGAGTTGGAAGGGACCCAAGGGTCATCTAGTCCAACCCCCCACAATGCAGGCATCTCAGCTAAAGCATCCATGACAGATGGCCACCCAACCTCTGCTTAAAAACCAAGGAAGGAGAGTTCACAACCTCCCGAGGGAGACTTCCACGGTCAAGCAGCTCTTCCTAATATTTAGTTGGAATCTGCTTTCTTGTAACTTGAAGCCATTGGTTCAAATCCTACCCTCCAGAGCAGGAGAAAACAAGCTTGTTCCCTCTTCCATGTGACAGCCCTTGAGATATTTGAAGATGGCTAAAATGGATGACCTTGATCCAGTGATACCAGCTTTTCAAATTATGATAGACATTTACACTTCCAGCAATCCCTTGCCACCCCCACTTGCCTCTTAACACCCCCCCCCCATGGTAATCCCACTGCCCGCAGTGGGTGGTACCACCCACCTTGGAAACCACTGGGTTAAACTATAGCCTGAGCACACACTATGCATTTCAAGCACAATGACTTCCCCGAAGAATTCTGGGCACTGTAGTTTGTTAAGGGCGCTGGGAATTACAGCTCCAGGAGGGTTAGACTGCAGTTCCCAGGATTCTTTGGGTGAAAATGTATGCATTAAATATATGGCGTGTTTACAGTTTCTGTTCAGAATCTATTAAGCAGCCAGCTTTTTTATTTGCAGGGCGGTTAAACGACAATAAGCATTTGTCCTTGTTTGCTTGTGGTGAGTTTATATGTCTGCTCATTCATCATTTGCAGGTTAGTATTAAAGGTGTTCAACAGGTAAAAATTCCCCTGGTCAATCCTTTAAAAGCTGGCATTCATGGTTTAATTCCTTTTCTTGCTGTGATGACTCTGCTGCAGCAGAAGACATCTGTAGGGAAGGGCAGTATCTCAGTGGTGGATCATCTGCTTTGCATGCAGAAGGTCCCCAGTTCAATTCCTGGTATCTCCAGGTGGCACTAGGAGAGAACCCTGCCTGAAACCCTGGAGAGCTCCTGCCAGTCTGTGTAGGCAATACTGAGCTAGGTTAGACTCTGTCAGAGGCAACTTCCTATGTTCCTATTGGCCACTGTGAGAAAAGGATTCTGGACTAGGTGGGCTTTGGCTTGATCCAATAGGGCTCTTCTTATCTTCTTCTGCAGCACAACTTAGAGCAGAGGTAGCCAATGTGGTGTCCACCAAACATTGTGGACTACAGGTCCCATCATCCACGACCCTGCTAGCTAGGGCTGATGGGAGTTGAACAACATCTGAAGGGCACAACATTGTATACCCCAGTCAGAACCAGTGCCAAATAATCTGCAGATGAGGCATCAATACACAAACCACAAAGTGCATCTCATTCAGGATAATTAAATGAAGTCAGAGCGGCCTCAAAATAGGCCAGGGGACCTACAAGCAAACATAGGGTAGTATTCAACACTAGTGCTACTCAGAGTAGACCCACTAAACTATCATAGGTTCTTTAATTTCAGCGGGTCTACTCTGAGTAGGACTTGGATGAATGCCACCCATAATTAAGGCTTTATATGAAATCTACATGGGGAATGTGTAATCTGCTGAGGAACGTTAACACGATGTGTTAAAATCTCTTTTTAAATGCACATCTTTGCTAATCCTTAAATGCGCTTTGTTTTCAGCTATGTTCATCCTGAACATTTTAGTTCAGTTGCTGTTATTATTTTAATCCTGTACGTTTTATGAAATTGGCTGGTCCTCTTAGCAGTTGAAGACTTCAATCCTAAACACACCTACTAAGAAACACATCCCATGGAACTGTGTAAACCGCCATAAGATTGCCCTGTGAGCAAACGTTCAAGTTTTGTACATTTAGAATATTGTTGTTGTCATCTTCATTATTCTTTATCATTATTTTAAGCATGTATGTGTTACGAAATTGCCTGGTCTCCTTGGCAGCGGACGATTATAATCCTAAATACGACTACTAAGAAATAATCCCATGGTGGAGCGGAGTATTCCACTGTTGTACATACAGAATAAAAGTTGTGCCTATATAAGGTATACAACAAGCAACTCCTTCCCTCCCTATACAGCATTAGCAGGAATGCCTCAAAGGACAAAATCATGACCAGACCCTGGCAGAAGAATGCACATATGGTTAAAGGTAGGAGACAACCACATATGCACACAGCAAGCTCTGCTCACATCTGTTGTTTGTTTAACCAGCCTTTTCCTTCTTCATAGTTGTTGAAGGAAAGAGGGGAGGGGATGTTTGGAAGGGGGGAATGATCAGAGAGGCTTTGTTTTCTAAAAGAGAGAGAGGGAGGGGGGGGAGTGGTACAACTCAAACACAGATCAGTTTTGTACTGCTTTAACCATAATGGTTTTCTCTCTCCAGGCCAAGAATCCTGGGAATTATAGTTTGGCAACATGCAAAAAATTATCTGTGTAAGTTGCTTAAGCCCCCCTCCCCCTAAGTAAGCACACAGCTAGAGTTCCCAGGGGAGAGGAAATTACATTTAAACCAGAAGGCCATAGTGTAGGTTTTTCTCCCACAATAAAAAAGTTCAATTTTAGCAGGGAACGAGGTTAGCAAATGCCTTGTAAGACAGTAAAAGGCTTTTTGATTTCGCCTCTCCAGTCATTTTCGGTTTTATTTAGAAGGAATGTATTAAAGGAGGTGAAAGTATCTGATTATTGCTCCATCTACTTTGCTCCAGTCCCAGTGTTGTTCATGGTTGCTGTTGTTGTTTTTTAAAAAAGATACACAAGTCTGAGGATTGGCTTGCCTGTGGGAGCAGACAAAGCTACTGTCTAGTGAGTCAGGCTGTGTCCATCATAGGCACACCCTGGCAGGGACAAAAGCAAAGCCCTGATGCCTGTCCTGGACCATCCTTTAAAAAAGTGAATAAATTCTGAACAACAGAACCTGGAAGCCAGTTTTAAACCCATGCAATGATGCCAATGTTGCAGTGTTCCAGGGCTTCGTAAGGAATCCAAACGGCATTTCCCAGCTGCCTGCCACAGTAGCCAACTAAGTCTTACTCAGAGTAGATCCATTGAAATTAAAGAACTGAAGTCTGTCGTGATCATTTACTTTAATGGGTCTACCCTGAACAGGACTAGTGTTGAATACCACCCATAGTAAAGGGCTCTCAAAATGAGCCTGCTCAGAGTTAGATCACTGGTCCGTCTAGTTCAGTACTATCTAATCCAGTGGCCTTCCAAAGTCTTGGGCAGGGGTCTTTCCCATCATTCGCTATCAGATCCTTTTAACTCAAGATTGCTCTAAACAGGCTCGAAATAAAGAAATAAAAATGAGTAAAGCTCTTTCATGTACATTTTTTTGTTGTCATCTGTGAGCGACCTTGCAAGGTAGGTCAAGATTATTATCCCCATGTTGCAAGTAGAGTTCTGGCGCCCTGAGCTGAATTTTGAATGCTCTCCCCAGAGACCTTTGCCTGGCACTGAATATGATGTCCTTTCAGCACTAGATGAAAACCCTTTCCTTTGCCCCAAGCATATTAGATTTAAGTTTTTATTCATTTTAATTAGGCTTGTACAATGTGTGTCCCCCTGCACTGCTCCTGTTTATATTATATTTTTATTTGATTGCTATTTCTATTGTGTTATCGGTGCATTTTATTGTTTTAGCTGCTCTGAGAGCTCTTGCTGGAAAATTTCTAAACAAATTTTCAAAACAAACAAACAATAGCATCTGCCTTGCAGAGATGAAATTAACTACAACGCCACAGCAGTTCCTGTTGCTTTCAGTTCCATTTCTAGTCACACTAGGTCATGACAAAGAAACAGCAGTTGGCATGTAGGTTTTAGATAGCAAAATGCCCACCAAATTTGGTGTGCAAGGGAGGAGCGATGGAGAGCTCCAGCCCCTTCCTAAACACACACACACACACACACCGGTTTGGCATTGCAAAATGTTTACTTAAAAAATAACTAAATAAATACATATAGGTAACATTTCACCAGAAAGAGGTTACAACCTGAAAATCTCTTATACAATATTTCTTATCTCTTGGTGGACTCCTTGATATAACTTAATTCTGTTCCAACATAAGACAAAAGGTCTCCAAACTTCCATGAGTATGATTGCTCCATTTCCCCATCACTGACGTTTGCCAACTGTTTTGGAATCAATCGTCAAGCCTTGCTAGATTTTCGCCCCACCCCCAGGAAGACAGGAAACTGCCTTGTACTGAGTGAGACCACCTGGTTCAGCATTGCCTACACTGACTGGCAGAGGCTCTCCAGCACTTCAGACCAGTTGTCTCTCTCAGCACAACCTGCAGATGCCAGTGATTGAAACCTGGGTTCTTTTGCATGCAAAGCAGATGCTCTACCACAGAGCTATGGCCATCCCCATAAAGTGTTTAGCAACTAAATTATGAGTTGCAATCTACGTATTGTTTACTTAGGCATTTGTATTCTGTTTTCATAGATTGTCCAAACAGTGCAAGAACAAAATTTCAGGTTTTAGAGACATCATTTCCTCTCCAGTCTCTTTGATAGTTCTTATTATAAGTGTCCTGAAGTTTATTACATACTTACAGGACCACCACATTTGCCTGAAGCCTGTGTTTTGTTCCATACACTGCCAGCAACATGAATTAGCTAAGCCAAGTACAGCTGCCACCAGCCCTGCACACTCGCCACGCTGGCTGAAATTGTTGGGATTTGTAATCCAACATCTGGTGTTTGCCACCCTGAGCTAAACCATATAGGTGACAATACCCATCATTAGTCATACTAGGGAGACCCACTGAGTTATGTTCAGTGCAGTTCTACTTAGAGTAGACCCACTGAAATTGAAGTACTCAAGTGAGTCATGCCTATGAATTTCAGTGGGTAAACTCTAAATAGAACTAATATTAGCTACAATCCATTGAACTCCATGGGTTTAATGCCATGAATTTCAGTGGGTCTACTCAGTTTTGTTGACCTTGTGTTTCTTGCAAGTATGGGGAATCTCACACCACATGCAGATCATTTTAATGAAAATTTCTTTAGATCTAGCAGCTGCATTGTTCTTTCTACTCTGCTTTATGCCCTCCTAATGTAGTTTCAGAATTAGGGTTTTCATCCCATTATTCATCCCAAGATGTGAAAAGAATCTGCAAGCCTTCTTTTTTTTTTTTTTGTGGTGGTGGAACAGTGTCCCTGATAGTAACAGCCAATTGAAATACCAGAGCGAGTAGATGCATAACACAAAACAGCTGTCAGGGTTTCCCCCCACCTCCTCTTGGCAAATATAAGCTTTCAGATCTATAGTTCAACCCACCGTTTGAGTGGAAGTCAGAGAAGCCATCCCTGAAACATCTGTGGTAAGGGCTGTAAGGCTTTTAAGAAATGGAGAAGAGGAAGTAAAGCAACACTAAGGGCATATTCACACCACACATTTAAAGCACTGTTATACCACTTTAAACAGTCATGGCTTTCCCCAGAGAATTATGGGAGCTGTAGTTTGTTAAGGGTGCCAAGAGCTGTTTGGAGAACCCTGTCCCCCTCACAGAGCTACAATTCCAGGAGTGGTTTATCAATCAACTCCTCTTCACAAGGACCTATCGAAATCGTAGTGCTGTGAGAGGAATAGGGGTTTCCTAACGGCTCTCCATACCCTTAAACTACTGCTCCCAGAATTCTTCGGCACAATCCTATACTTGTCTACTTGGAAAGAAGTCCCATTTCACTGCTCGCTGGGTTAGAGGGGGCAAGGGCAAAGGCCAGAAGCGGCTCACTAGGTGAGATGGATCCACTACGCTTGTGTCCTTCAGTGACCCACCTGCTGGGAAGCTGGCAGAGCAACTCTGCCCCACCCAAAAAAGCTGTTTCTGGCAAGAATTGTGAGGAGGAGGAGCACCAGGAGGCTCTGGGGATGAACCAGGGGTGCCATTTGGGGGAGCCGAGCAGCTGAGGGCTCCCCTTAAATCTTCAAGCAGGGGGCCAGCTAGGCTCCTTCAATATTCCACAGCCTGAAACAGGCCTTGCTGGTCCCCCCCACAGCTGTGATGGGTCCCGTTGGGCCTTCCCATGGCTGCAGCAGGCCTTGCAGCCTCCTCCTGCCACGTGACATCAGATGTGCACATCATGCATGTGACGTCACCCCCCCCCCAAAGTAGGGCAGAACCCACTGGGATGGGCAGTGGGTCCCTTCCTAAAGCATGACCTTTGGCAAGTGCCCAATGGTGCTGACCTCAGGCATTAACCCTGTAACTTCTTGCTGGCTGTGTGTATCCAGGTTTTGACATCAGTTATCCATGATGAAACCTTGTTGGGTTACAAAAACCCCTTAATCACTACTGCGAGGAAGCAAATTGTATGCGGATGGGTTTTTCTTGGGTCGTCAAAGAAGTGTGGTAAAAAAACACCACTAGCTAAAGAATAGGCCGTTTCCTTTTTGCCTTTGCAAAAGGAAACAAAAAAGCCAAAAGTGAATTGGCTCTTAATCTCCAAAGGAAGCTGATATGAGATGGATTTCTCCCTTCATCTCTCCCTGGACTGTTTTTTTCTTCCTGCTGTGAGAAAACTATGGTCACAGCACACCTGTGTTTCACAGGAATATAAAGGTTTTTGCAGCAGAAACCTCTGAAGCCCCCAGGAATTCCTTTGACGCTGGGATATGAGCAGCAGCTGTGGGTCTTAATAGCTGCAGTCTCCTTTTGGGGGGACTTTAATAAACATCCCTTTCCTTGAAAAGAAGCTCCAGTTAAAAAAATACATTCTCAAGTTGTGTATTGCACTGTTAAATAAATAAATTCGTTAGCCTTAAAGGTGCTTTCTGCAGGATTCTTCACTGTTGTTAACGCGGAGATGGTGACCCTAAAGAACAGTGTCACAAATGATCTGGACAGCCTTCTCTGTTAAAGGTTCTGTCTCTCCATTTGGCTGCATGCACACTAACCCATTTCTAGATGTAGAAAATGTAGTTTTTCTCAATCTGGAATTGTTGATACTTATCCTCAACATTAAGGGACGCGGGTGGCACTGAGGGTTAAACTACAGAGCCTAGGATTTGCCAATCAGAAGGTTGGCGGTTCGAATCCCCGCGACGGGGTGAGCTCCCATTGCTTGGTCCCTGCTCCTGCCAACCTAGCAGTTCGAAAGCACGTCAAAGTGCAAGTAGATAAATAGGTACCACTCCGACGGGAAGTTAACGGCATTTCCGTGCGCTGTTCTGGTTCGCCAGAAGCGGCTTAGTCATGCTGGCATGTATGCCGGCTCCCTCGGCCAATAAAGCGAGATGAGCACTGCAACCCCAGAGTCGGCCACGACTGGACCTAATGGTCAGGGGTCCCTTTACCTTTACCTTTATCAACATTAGGGTTGCCATATTTCAAAAAGTAAAAACCAGGACACCCTGAAAATTTCAACAGGCCTTTCCGAAATTTCCCGGACGTATGGCAGCCCTACTGAACACACCACTTTCAATC